GTTTTGACTGTTTTAATAACTGAATTTGAAATCGTCGTAACCTGCTCTGGTATCTGTTGGTGAAGAAAGGTGGGTAACAGATTTAGTAGCAGTGGTGGTAGTAATAATATGGTAGCAAAAACATAAAATACAAAACGAACTAATAAATACGACTATAAAAGAAGTAATCACTTTACAGCATCAGGAAGGTAAAATACCTAGACTGTAATTCATCCCAATGTTGTTGTTGTTGTGTGTGTATTTCTTGTGGGAGCTGTGAAATTGCACATAGTTGCTTGCTGTTGTATTTTTGTATCTTGAGTTTTCTTGGGCCTATGAAAAGCTAAAGGAATCTAAAGGTATATCTTGAAGCATGGGTAGGCAAACTAAGGCCCGGGGCCGGATCTGGCCCAATTGCCTTCTAAATCCGGACCACGGACGGTCCGAGAATCAGTGTGTTTTTACATGAGTAGAATTTGTGCTATTATTTAAAATGCATCTCTGGGTTATTTGTGGGGCATAGGAATTCGTTCATTTCCCCCCAAAAAATATAGTCCGGCCCCCCACAAGGTCTGAGGGACAGTGGACCGGCCCCCTGCTGAAAAAGTTAGCTGACCCCAGTTGGAGTAAGAGAGGCAGCACCTTTTGCTCTCTCCAGGCTCTCCTTTTTTTTAAAAAAAAAAAGATAGCCACTGAGATTGCCAGATGGTTCAGTTTGACTGGTTGCTCCGCAGCACACTGATGCGGTGATGAACACTGATGTGGTGATGATTTGCTTAAAGCAGGCATAGGCAAACTCCGGCCCTCCAGATGTTTGAGACTACAATTCCCACCACCCCTGACCACTGGTCCTGTTAGCTAGAGATGATGGGAATTGTAGTCCCAAACATCTGGAGGGCTGGAGTTTACCTATGCCTGGCCTAAAGCATCAACCCTTGTGAGGGTGTGTCCCGGTCCAGTTCATGGGCGATCGAAGTCCCGGCTGGGGACGTCGGGACTGGGGGCAAGATGGCGGGGTGGGAGCAGGAACGGGAGTCCAGAAGCCAGGAGTCAGGAAGCCGAGGGTCCGAGGGTCAGAGAGCCGGGAGTCAAGAAGCCAAGGGTCCGAGGGTCAGGAAGCAAAGGGTCCAAGGATCAAGGAGTCAAACGCAGCAAAGCAGGAAGTGTGTTGCTGTGGCAAAGAGCCAAAGGGAAATGCTGACCTTCTATCCCTTCCCAGCTCTTGCCACCAGGTGCTGTGAGTTACCAATTGGCCTCACCTGTGCAGCTGTTCCTTGCCTCTTCAGAACAAACTTAGGAAGGCCCCAGTCCTGCAAAGTCCTACTGGTCACAGGGCCTGGCTCCTGCACGCATTCCTGACAGGGCAGAGTCCTTGTCAGATGGCAGTTATGTCTCAGATCAAAGTTCTGGCTCTTGGAAACAACTTTATGTAAGTGCTAACTATTTTAGAGAGAGAAGAGGTAGACCAGTTCATGCCGCCGTTGAGAAATGGTTGTACTAATCTGACCTGTAAGATTTGCATGTGTTAATGGTGGAATGTAGGACGCTCTCACCATCGAGGCAGAGTCTTAGGCAACAGGCGCAACTAAGTATTGAAAAAAACACCTCCAGGTGATGGTGTATACGTTTGTGTAATCCGACACAAACTGCATTTGCTGTGCTGTGTTTGTTGTGGGGAGAGAAACATATTTCAAGTATCTTCTCTTTTCTAGGACTTTTGAGTCTTCCATTTCTCCAGGCAACATTGTCTTCTTTGATTAGTTATTAGGATGTAGACTCACCTTCTCCACTCGCTGAGTTTCAGCTTGTGTAGGTGGCAGTGGGATTGTCCCACATCTGATGTCTGCATGTTCAGCAGAAAGTTCTGTGTTCTTGCAGCTGCATGTGGACAGTCCCTTTGGCATGGCAAATCTTGAGTTCCTTCTCATGCAGTGGAACCATCTATGTTCATAAAGCTGTATGTCCCTCTTTTAAGACTGTTGATTTAAACAGGTGGAAGATATAATGGGGGACGCGGGTGGCGCTGTGGGTTAAACCACAGAGCCTAGGACTTGCTGATCAGAAGGTCAGTGGTTCAAATCCCCGTGACATGGTGAGCTCCCGTTGCTCGGTCCCTGCTCCTGCCAACCTAGCAGTTCGAAAGCACATCAAAGTGCAAGTAGATAAATAGGTACCGCTCCGGCGGGAAGGTAAATGGTGTTTCCATGCTCTGCTCTGGTTCGCCAGAAGCGGCTTAGTCATGCTGGCCACATGACCCGGAAGCTGTACACCAGCTCCCTTGGCCGATAAAGCGAGATGAGCGCCGCAACCCCAGAGTCGGTCATGACTGGACCTAATGGTCAGGGGTCCCTTTACCTTTAAGATATAATGGTGGTGATGAATTGTGTGTGTGTGTGTGTGTGTGTGTGTGTGTGTACACATACATACACACAGGTATGTATTTAAATGGGATTGTTTTAGTATGCATGTTAATGCTTGTGCAATTAGCTTTTAAATTTAGAAACCACATAGAAACTAATTTAAATTATATAACTTAATTGTATATAAATTGATTTAATACTACTAATAGTACACAGTTGTCGGGGACTGGCTGGACAAAGAGGAGTGATGGGAGGAACCCAGGGTTCAAAATTAGTCGGCCGCATTTTGCACCTGGCTGTTGGCCACGCGCAACCAAGTGAAGGCGCTCGACACCTCCACCATCTGGAGGTTCATGCCTGGGCATCCTTGGATCTTATTTACTGTTTGGACAAAATATGCAACGTTTGCATTTTCTCTGTGTGGCAATTGGAGAATATATATATTTTAAGGAAGAATGCTGTGTGTCGCTAGAGAGTTGGAATTTTGTTTATGCTTGTATTTGGGCTTATGCAAATTTTATTTATTTTACTTGTATGTGTATTCAGGTAGGTGGTTCCATTGGTTTGTTAAATGCTTGCTTTGTGATCCCCTGATGACTAAATACAAACAATTCCGGATCTATATGACTGTGAAGGAAGTAAAAACAGAATTACTGTTAACCGTGAATGATTAATTAAATGGTTGTGGTAGACAGGATATGTTCTGCCTCTTCCCACACAAAACTAATAATTTCACCGATCGTTTAATATTCCCCAAATGTTCAATTTCCAATATATATTTAGTTGCTAGTGTATCTGTTTAAAGTGATATGAGACTGTGATACTAAAGGGATGGGCATTTGGGGGGAAATGTTCTCTCCCCACGCCCACCCCCTTTTCCAAGTTATTCATGTAAGACTTTCCCTCTATATTAGATGTGGCAATATAGCATGTGCAGAAAAATTCCTCTGTTATGTGGACAGAGGGCCAGTCCTACCATTAGGCAGATTGAGGCAACTGCCTCAGGCGGCAGATGCCCAAGGGCAGCAGTAACAGCCTCTGGCTTTTCCTCCTGAGCTCTCCATCATTCCCCTTCTGGGACCCCTATCCTGGCCTGCTGCCTTGGGCACAATGGAAGATGCTATCATACCACCAATGCTGATGTACAGTTTTGACTCCCAGACCAGTTTGCACCTGTACGTGGAATTGAGAAGGACCACCATCTTATCATTTGACTCAGGCAGCAAAATGTCTTGGGACTCAGGCGGCAGAATGAGATTTTTTAATTCTCTTGCGTATACTTTCTTATCTTAACCATTAAAAGATTTATATAATTTTGACATTTGTGAGTATTGAGAACAATTATTGGGGAGAAAAATTATCTTCATTTGAAATTAACAACCTGAATTAACTTGCTAGCAGTTTAAATTTTTTCCATTACTACTACGATTTTACACAGTAATTTGAGCTTCTTGTGTGCGTGTCAGCCTTTTTTTCCACAACATCGTTTAGATTTGTTAATTGTTCACTTTGTTCACAGGATGAGCTTGCTTCGTCTTTTTTTTTTTAGCTCCCCCCCCCCCCCCCATTTTTTCTCTTTCAAATGAATGTGGAAAATAGCTATTGTAGAACAACCAGCCATATGGCGGATGGCCACTTTCTGTGTTTTAACTGTGTTAAGTGTAACCACTAGAGGGTATCTGACCATTTCAGTTACATTAATTCACAAGTTTTCCCCCTCTTTGGAACCAAGCAACAGGTGGTCCGTCTGTTTAGGAGAAATTGCAAATGCTTGGGGAGACCTTCTGTTGTGTTGACGTTGTTCAAACGCTTGCAGATTTGTTAGTGCCGATGAATTTAAATTTATAGCATCGCAACTCCACATAATGTTTGCTGAGAAGCAAGCCCTACTTGTTCAGTGGGTATTATTCCTTAGTGAGCATGTGAAAGATTGTAGTGTAGAACAACAATTAATGAATGAAATGACAGTAATGAATGGAAAAGAATTCTCACTCATTGGAAACACTTAACATTTATGTAGTTCATTTCAGGTATCTGCATTATCCCAGCCCACTAAGCCCAAATTGCAGCATCCTATAGCAGCTGGTGCAAACATATTTCAATAATGAGGGATGCGGGTGGCTCTGTGGTCTAAACCGCTGAGCCTCTTGGGCTTGCCAATCAGAAGGTCGGTGGTTCGAATCCCTGCGACAGAGTGAGCTCCCGTTGCTCTGTCCCAGCTCCTGCCAACCTAGCAGTTCGAAAGCACGCCCATGCAAGTAGATAAATAGGTACCGCTGCAGCTGGAAGGTAAACGGCGTTTCCGTGCGCTCTGGTTTCTGTCACGATGTTCTGATGCACCGGAAGCAGTTTAGTCATGCTGGCCACATGACCCGGAAAGCTGTCTGTGGACAAACGCTGGCTCCCTCGGCCTGAAAGCTAGATGAGCACTGCAACCCCTTAGTCACCTTTGACTGGACTTAACCGTCCAGGGGTCCTTTACCTTTTACCTTTTTTTATTTCAATAACGGCTTATTTACAAATGGTTTGGCTATCATTAGTTAGCATAAAGTGTGTGCGTGTGTGTGTCTGTTAAATTTTAAATAAAAATGAATGAAATTTCTTTCATCATGTGTTCTTTATGGAGATTCGGAACATTAACGGCAAGTTCTTCTTTTGCAGTGACCCGTATGTGAAACTTTCATTGTATGTAGCAGATGAAAACCGAGAACTTGCCCTGGTGCAGACAAAAACTATTAAAAAGGTAAGTGGTGATAATATATCCTTAACTGTTGGACAGTGTTCGAAATTAGCCAGGCGCATTTTACACCTGGCTGTCAGCTACTTGCGGCCAAGTGAAGACACCAGGATGACGCCTGACGTCTCCACCATTTGGAGGTGCATGCCTGGGGATCCTTGGATCGTGATTCTTTTCCCACACTAATACCATACCCTGTAGAATTCTATGTGTTATATTTCATGTGCACAATCAGAATGAAGTTCAGGAACCCAAATGCTTTTTCTGTGCAGCCTGAGCAGGGGCAGTGAACAAGGTTATGGTTAATTGTTGTCTCTTTTCTTCACTTACACCACTCCACTGCCCAGATCACAGTTGTGAAAAGTATCCCTATGTAATGCCCATGTCAAAAAAGGCATAGCATAACACACATACACACATTTATGAGCCACCTTGAGGGGCTCGCTTAAGGGTTTTTCCCACTTGTTGCCAGGTGGTGCTGTGGGTTAAACCACAGAGCCTAGGACTTGCCAATCAGAAGGTCGGCGGTTCGAATCCCCGCGATGGGGTGAGCTCCCGTTGCTCGGTCCCTGCTCCTGCCAACCTAGCAGTTCGAAAGCACGTCAAAGTGCAAGTAGATAAATAGGTACCACTCCGGCGGGAAAGTAAACGGCGTTTCCGTGTGCTGCTCTGGTTTGCCAGAAGAGGCTCAGTCATGCTGGCCACATGACCCGGAAACTGTACGCCGGCTCCCTCGGCCAGTAAAGGAAGATGAGCGCCACAATCCCAGAGTCGGCCACGACTGGACCTAATGGTCAGGTGTCCCTTTACCTTTTTATACATTTTTAAAAAATGAATGAATATCAATTTTGGCCGCAACTTTAAAAGGTTATCCTCTGAAATACTTGGTGCAAAAAGTGGTTTTCTGTGCCGATCATAAATTTATATTTGTCATTTTTACCAGCGATTCTGCTTCAGAGATCCAGATCTACTCCTCTCCTTGCACACACTGACCATGTACCCTCTCGCTCTCTCCCACTCCCCAGTAACGTGTTGAAGAATTTTAATAATGAAATATTTAACGGCCTTCATTAAGACATCTCTGCCCAGGTCATCAGCAATCTGCCTCCCACTGTGAAGTTCCTATTTATAGTTGACGTCTATTTCTGGCTCATCCCACTTCACATGCCCTCCCACACGAAGTTTGCTCAGCAAATGAATTTGAAGCCTTTTGACGACAATGTCTTTATTGCGGATGAAAGCTGTTGCTATGATGTTTTTTCCCCTCTCTAGTTCTTTTTTACTTTCCTTTCTGATATTCTTAACAAAGAATGTCACTTTTGTTTTAATTGCAGCGAAATGTCAGACCTTCAGCGTTTTCTAAAGTTCTTAAAGATTTGGTGTTGCTAAATGTGATTTCCCCTCCTCCTTTTTTCTTTCAGACATTGAATCCGAAATGGAATGAAGAATTTTATTTTAGAGTAAGTGTTCTGCTTTTAAATGCCAAGCGTATTTCCTGTGTGATCAGCTGGCATCTGGCTCTGTGCTGTTGACAATGGAATGTTGAATTAGATGACCCATAATCTAATGATCCAGCAGAGCAACTCTTATTTTCTTAAACATGCTAAACCAAACATTTACAAAACATTTCTATCCATATGAAACATGGCCTTCTCTGGAAATGATTTTGTAATATACAATAGTGCTTTTAATTTGCAACATGTTTTATCTTTTTCACAACATCCCTGCGAGGTGGGTCAACTTACACTAGTGGTTATCCCCATTTCTATTCACAGGATATTTTAAGCCAAGGGGGAAAATGGAGGCAAATAGACATATAGAGGAAACAAAGGGCTGTGAACGAAAAAGGCTGGAGGTGGGGGAAAGGAAGTGGGTTTAATTTGCAGGTTGTTGTTTATAGATAGGTTCAAGCTTTTTAAACAGTGAAGATTGCTGGACTAGTATTCTGGTTTTGTGGGGCAAGAGTATTGAAGCTGAGCAATAAATCTATTGCATTGGATGAAGACTAGAAAACAGGGATGCAGAACCCAAGGCTACCCAGAAGGCACTGGGATATAGTTCCCCTCATGCCTCTTGGCCTTGTTGTCTAGGGTTGACGGGAGTTGCTGTCCATCATCTTGAGAGCCATAGGTTCCCAATCCCTGCTTTCAACCCAATCCAAGCTTGTATCCATAGTCCTAGTACCATAACTTCCAGCTCCCAGTACAGTTGTGTCACAAGCGCTTGTGGCATGCTCAGTGGCAATGGGTGAATTTGCCTGAATAAACCTTGTTGGGATGGAGTGCAAAGGATGACTTCCTACGCTTACCAGAAATTAGCAGCAGTAGAGATAGGGACGTGGGTGGCGCTGTGGGTTAAACCACAGAGCCTAGGGCTTGCTGATCAGAAGGTCAGCGGTTTGAATCCCCGCGATGGGGTAAGCTCCCGTTGCTCGGTCCTTGCTCCTGCCAACCTAGCAGTTCAAAAACGCATCAAAGTGCAAGTAGATAAATAGGTACCACTCTGGCGTTTCCATGCGCTGCTCTGGTTTGCCAGAAGCGGCTTAGTCATGCTGGCTACAAGACCCGGAAGCTGTCTGCGGACAAACGCTGGCTCCCTTGGCCTATAGAGCGAGATGAGCGCCGCAACCCCAGAGTCAGCCCTGACTGGACCTAATGGTCAGGGGTCCCTTTACCTTTAGAGATAGGGAGTCCTACTTTCAGCAATGTCAGAGTGTGGGGTTGCTGACTAGCTAGCCACACCTTTCCATGCAGGTTTGGCTACTGGCATTGGTGAGGGGCAAGCCAATCATCGTCTACACTCTTTCTGTCTGAGATTTCCCCTCTGCTTCCGGTGTTTATTTCCAGTGAAGACATGAATTTTCTTTCTTACCTCTGATTTACCCTAGAGCAGAGCCATCGGTTCTTACAAACGAGCCACTTTACCAGTGGGGCTGGTTTTCAACATCGCAATGTATCACCAGCTAAATATCATGATATACCATTACACCACGATGTCTGAAATAAGGAACTATTTAGATGTGAACAGTAGGGCTGGGCCATATCTGGTTTTCAACACCGTAATATATTACCAGATAAACAATGTGATATACTAATATATCACCATGTCTGAGATAAGGATGGATCTATGTAGAGGCGTTGGCTGGCTCCAGTTTTTCCCCACATTGTGATTTTTGCATAGCGCACACCCCCCCCCCATCAATCACAATTCGCAGTATATTGCCAGGTCAAAAATTATGACACCAGTATCATTGGGATACCAAGCACACAAAACCATGGGACCAACTTATGCTTCAGAGTATTGGTCCATCTGTTGCTGTGCTGTCTGCACTGACTGGTAGTAGACTCTCCTGGGTCTCAGAGTCTTCCGCACTCCTGTCTGTAGATGTTGGGTATTTAATTTGGGACTTGACTTGAGGCAAATTTAATTGACTCCCCTGGCATTTGGGTGTGCATCGTCTTTATTAGAGTGCCTTGTACTCATGCCACTTCCTCGTTCTCATTAAACAAAACAGGAGGCAAGAGAGTTTTAAAGACCTGGTGTAGTTGTGGCCACAATTTTGGCAAATTTGCTCCAAAACTTGGAAGAGCACCATTGTAATGTACATTGTGACACAGAAGTGTTCTGTATAAGGCTATACAGATGAGTCCAAAGGAGAAGTCGGATTTGAGCCCATATTTTTTTTGACCAAGTGCACTTTATCTCATTTTTTTGTTTTGTTTTAAATGTTCTGCCATCTCACTTGTTCTACACCAAAGAAAATCCCCTGTGTTGCGAAACAGAACACTCTGAACAACAACAAGCAACACGTCGGCTAATAATATACTGACATTATTTTTATAACACTATACTGTTTCAAAATTCATAAACAGAAGACATATAATATGTGCATGGAGTCGCGAACTACTAAGAATCAAATAAATGTTCCACGAACAGTGTTAAGTTGTGGGTGAAGATATTAGACGACACAGCGATTCTTCAACAGCTCTTGTTTATTCACAGGCCAGAACTGAACTGAAGGGTTCAGCCAGCCTTATAGAGCTCCACTACAACGCAACTGTAACACTTTCTGTAACTATCCAATCACTGAGCGTCACTTTCAATCCCTTATTTGCATATGTGGACCTGAGTGAAAACTATCTACAGTATCCCCCTGCTGGCACAGGGTGAGAACTTCAGTACATAACAAACAGGAATGGTAGGAGTGAAGTGACTGTCAAAGATCACTGAAATGGAGGCAGAATGCCTTTCCACAGTCAATATCCTACAAATGTGAGATGATGGGTGCTCCAAACATCGCAATAGGGTGCTCCAAGCATAGCACACATTTTAGTGATAGCTGATCCTTGGCCATTTGATGTACCTTTGGGGACTATTAATTTGTTCATTATCCTGGAAGAACTGTACTGTCTGCTGCTGGAATATTTATTTGATTCTTATTAGCTTGTGATTCCATGCACTTACTAGATGTCTTCTGTTTAAAAAATATTGCCAGTATCTCACTTGTTCTGGCTTATTCCAGCCTAGAAAGCCTCTACACAAACATGACCGCACGGACAATCTCTCTCCTCCAGTTTAAGAGGTTTCTGATGGTGGTTTGTTTATTTTTAGTTTAGTTTTGTTGCCATACACATTTTACAAGTGCATTGCGGCCAGCCACTTTTTACTGTTTCACCTGTCCCAATACACACCTGCTACGCTCTCACACATCCCTTTCAAGGGTCTGCCTTTGAAACTGTCCCAGAAACTCCAGCGGGTGCAGAATGCTGCAACAAGGCTCCTCACGGGGTCCCTGCCATGGGAGCATATTCACCCAGTGCTTTACCAGTTGCATTGGCTCCCAGTGCAGTATAGGGTCAGGTTTAAGGTGCTGGTTTTGACCTTTAAAGCCCTTTGTGGCTTAGGGCCCTCGTATTTACGGGACTGCCTCTCCTGGCATGCCCCACAGAGCATCTTAAGGTCCATGAATAATCATAGTTTAGAGGTCCCGGGTCCTAAGGAAGTCAGATATCCTCCACCAGGGCCAGGGCCTTCTCAGTGATGGCTCCGACCTGGTGGAATGCTCTGTCCCATGAGACCAGGGCCCTGCAGGATTTAACCTACTTCCGCAGGGCCTGTAAAACAGAGCTATTCCTCCTGGCTTTCAATTTGAATTTAGCCAAATCTTTTATTTCCCTTCTCTTTCCTCCCCCTTTAATGAAGATTAACCGCTCTGGGATCCCACAGCTAATTCTCCCCTGGTCTCCTTGCTGACCCAAATAGGACTAATTTAGCCAACTAGCCCTGGTGCTCATCTAATGTTTATTGGATGGATTCCCCCCCCCAAAAAAAATTGATTTTAGAACTTTATTGTTATTCACACTTTTATACTGTATTTTATGCTGTTTTTTTGTTGTATCACAATTAAGTGTTTTAAATTTGTTGTTAGCCGCCCTGAGCCCGGTTTTCTGAACCAGGAAGGGCGGGGTATAAATAAAAAAATATTATTATTATTTTGAGGGGTTGGTAGCACTGAAGTTTTGAGAATCCAGTTAGCGGGGAGAGTGACTGATTGGGATGATGAAAGCAGTTCAACTTGTTGCTTTAGTCAATAAAGGCAAGAGGGGAAGGACTAAGCAGTAGATGCCAGGATTAGATTAAGTGATTAGTGGACGTCAGCACCCAAACCATACATGTGTTATAAATACGATGGGTAAATTTTGCATTTCCAAGTTCTAATCATTACTACTTTGGAAATTCATTTTGAAAACACTGGCTATAAGGGACCAGTCTTTACAGCCTAATCCTATAAAGTGGCACAATATGTAGGCAAAAAGGATTAATTTCACAGTTACGGATGGCCAAAGCCATACCAGAGAGGCAAATATATTTGCAGAGCAGAGCAGTTCATATTTTTAAGGATCATATTTGGAATTTGTTTTAAAGGTGCATCATTTTACACTTATTTTACATGATCCATGAAAAAAACACACCACTCATTTGCATTATACTTTCCCCCGGGCTGGCTTACTCAACAAGATGAAGGGAAAGTAGAAAACAATATTTTAAATGATTTCTCAGTTTTAATATTGCAAGTGAGCGGGACATTCATATTGTTAACCAGTTACTATAGAATGCTGTCTAAACTCTCGGATGTCTTTCTTTAAAAAGAGAAAGGCAGAGAGAGAGAGAGAGAGAGAGAGAGAGAGAGAGAGAGAGAGAGAGGAAAGGGAGGCAAGGTAATATTTCAGCAGTTTAAATTTAATCTTTTGGAGCAGCTGCCTGTAAACACTGGGGCATTGTAGATTGTTAAAACTGTAGTATCTTTTTCAAATAGTGTCTGTGCAGTTGGACTTTTTTTGTTAGCATTTTGGAAACAATATTTTTAGCAGTTTCTCAATTTGGAAAGATCGTAAGTGGTTTTCAAGTTGATTTTTATAGCATGCTTAAACAGAGAAAATAGAGACGATTTTGGTTCTGCAGTCTTCCTTGCTGTCCCAGACACATTGATCTCTTCAGTGTTCTCCATAAGGAAGAGTGGGAAGAAATGGTCCAAGCCTGTTTTGATTAGTAATGCACAATCCCTGGGAATTGTCTTGGCACTGAACCCCACATGTCTGGTCCCGGCTTTTTCCATTCCAGTCACAACAAAGTTTAATAGGAATCTTTCTACCAGAACTTACGTCTGGTCATGTTATACTTCAGGTTTCTAATGCTGAAATCCTAAACACACTTACTGTTGATCATGGAGGGGCTTGCACCACAATCCTATTTATGTTTAGTTTATGCACACTTAATTTGGGAATAAGTTCTATTAGGCAAAGTAGGACTTAATTCCGAATAAACATGCATTCACTGCGTAACACAGTTTGCGCAATCAAATCCTTTAGTCCTGTTAATAACTGTTAATTACGGCTTTGTATATCACTGCAGTTTCAAAAACCTCGAGCGTTGCTGGCGTGGGTGAGGAAAAATATATCAGCCCTGAATTCAGAGCTGTCTCAGTTTTAGGCCTGGGTCTAAAGGAGGAGATTTTCTGCCCCCTTAAGATTTTATTAAAGCTTTTATAGAATACAACAAGATGAAAGAAACTAATCTAAATAAAAACAAAAACAGAAAAAGAAAGAAAGAAAGAAAGAAAATGCAGAGCCCTCCCTCAGAGGTAACTCTTAACCCTTGTCTCACTCAGAAAGTGTTGGAGCCTCCCAGTGCTATTTTTCTAGAAAAATAGGTGCCAGAATTCACCATGAATGCTTCCCTTGTTCTCTTATACAGTCATACCTCAGGTTACAGATGCTTCAGGTTGTGTTTTTTCGGGTTACGGACTGCCGAAACCCGGAAGTACCGAAACTGGTTACTTCCGGGTTTTGGCGGTTGCGCATGCGCAGAAGCGCCAAATCGCAACCTGCACAGGTGCACCGCTGTGGGTTGCGAACGCTGCAGGTTGTGAACATGCATCCCGCACGAATCACGTTCGCAATGTGAGCGTCCACTGTAATGGTAATGGTGCCCACCTGAGAGGTGCCGGAACTGAGTTCCTGTGAGTTCCAGCTGGGGGGGGAAACCCCTGGACCCTCCTAGCTCTCACCCGAGAACTTTCCTTTCTTATCCCAGTTTCCAACTCTTACCTTTAACATATTGTTACAGCTGTTGTAAACAGAGCATCAGGGGTGGCAGGAATCACGAGAAGAGTGATGACCGGGCTTCACGGTTTTTCCCACATTGCAATTATTATTTTTTACACAGCACATGCACACATCGTGATTTGCAATATATTGCAGTGTCGAATATTATGAAACCGCTTCCACAATGTGGACTTCAAACCGATTTTGGACAGTATATCTCCCAGCCCTGCCTGCCAGTATAGAAAATATAGTTCTGAAAATATAGAAGTGAAGCATTCATTATAAGGTTGCTTCCGAACTTTCATGGTGGAGTATACCAGGGATGGGGAACCTTTGACCTTTCAGATGTTGGACTCTCAGCTCATCAGCCCCAGTTAGTCATGGGAAGTGCCACCATATGATGCTCTGTGTGGGAGATGTTCCCTGTCTAACCATGGGACTCTTGTTGCAGCCTGGCTTTATGTTGTCTGCGTCAACATATGCATGCTGGTGTTTTTCTTTTAAATCAGGCTTCATCAAATCAATGTTTCTAACATTAAGAGAAGCTCACCAGTCGGCTTTGCTGGATGTCCCTCCCCCAGCTTGGAGTGAAGACAGGGGGTGGGATTAGTCATGGCTAACTTAATGCTAATCATTCGCATAGCAACCCTGTGTGCAGGTTTTTCAAAGGCTGGTTTTTCTGCTGTTGAGATTAGATATATGATCAACAGAAATTTGTTTGCGTCTCGAGGTCCCCAAGCCACCCCCTAAATAAATCACAAATTCACACAGAAATGTTTGTTTAAGGTTTTTGGCATAATTTTGGCCACAACTTTATTAAAATACATAATGTGAATGGTTGCTTAGGTATTTGTTACAACTATCTGTCCCCGCCCTGGGACAGAAGTGACTTCCGGATTCCAGCAAAAGCCAGTAAGGGAAAACAATATTGGGGGGAGAATGGCAGCATACCGTCACCCCTCCCCACATTCTCCCAGGGGCTTGCACGGCCCTAGCCCCTTGCCGGGGATATGCACAAAAGCATGGCAAACCCCTGGATTCCTTTAATGGAATTCCCTTGCAGCAGCAGCATTGGAGGGGCAGGCACAGCCAACCCTTACCCCTCCACCAACCAATTTTTAACTAATGCCTAACTGCAACCTTACAAGTTGTGACGATTTGCTATGCAGTAGGCAAAAACCAAATGGCACCAGCCAATCTGCCAAATGGGCAAAATTCCTACCGGGCCCCTGCCCCAAAAGCAGACGACCCCATGACAGGCATAGCAAGGTCAAACGCAACAGCCCTAAATTGGGGAGGGTGGGCGGGCTATCTGATGCACGCAGCAAAAGGGACTGAAAAAACTGTGTCCCAAGAATATATAACCTTCGGGCCATGCCTCTAAATGTTAACATCAAAACCTCCCCAACAACTCAAATTGGCCCAATCACAATCATGGCCATCCAAATGTTCCCGCCCAGTAACCAAGAGGGGGTGTCCTGTTAGACCCCACCGCAACATGTGCTCTCCATGAAGGAGAACACACTTTGCTGAAATTACGGTGGGCAGTATGTGATTATCCCATTGGATAATCTGCAGTTGAAGTCCGTTCGACTTCGAAAACATTTGGAAACCCAAGCACGGCTTCTGATTGGCTGCAGCAAACTCCTGCAGCCAATCGGAAGCTGCAGAACCCGTGTCGGACGTTCGGGTTCCAAAGAACGTTCGCAAACCAGAACACTCGCTTCTGGGTTTGCGGCGTTCGAGAGCCAAAACGTCCAAGTACCAAGGCGTTCAGGATCTAAGGTACGACTGTATGTTCCTAGAGGGAAATGAAGTAGCCAGGTTGTGATCTGGAGATCATACCTGTTTCTTTAACAGATCCTCTTTTTCTCTCTTAAATTATAGGTGTTATTTTTTGGGGGGGCAGCTGGGCTGACTGATACAGTCGTGGTGAGACCTTAGCTCCCTATAAGGAATCAAAACACCCTATTTTTGGGTGCGTTTTCTTGGGTTCTGCTGGGCGATGGGGAGAAAGGTGGAGTTTGCTTGTCCCTCTTTGCTTTGCCCTTGGAAAATTCAACTCCGTTTCTTCATGTCACACCAAAGATTCATTTAAAAACAGTGTAAATAAAGAACGTTGAATTAAGTAACTGCTAAATAACTGTTAGTCTGTTTTTAAACAAATAATTCCATTAAATTCTTTATTATATCTTCTAGGTAGATCCATCTAACCACAGACTACTCTTTGAAGTATTTGATGAAAATAGATTGGTAAGTGTTCTTTTATCTTTAGTGTACATTCAGTGGCTGTGCCATAACCACACCCTTTTTTGCAGCCGACATAAAGCGAAAGCGGTGGAATACTTATCAAATGGTTGCATGTGGGGATATGAATTGTGACCTTTTTTAATGGGTTGCAGGCTTATAAACAGTTTGGAGTTTCCTGTTGGAATCACTGAAAGGCAGGAGTGGGGTCAATCAGGAGTCTCCCACCTTCTGCTCTGCTTTTATTATAAAGGACTGTTTTGTTTTTTAAACTGTTGGTTGCTGCTTCCTCAGAGATATATATATTAGTAGGAAAAGGAACATTTAAAAAAATAAAAATAAAAAAAATAAATGACATGGAATGAAATGAATACATGCTACGTGGAACGGAACCCCAGCGCATTTGTTTTAAACAAATGGAGTCAGTTAATAGGTGACTAGTAAATTATGGCGGTAAATAAATAAATGCATGAAAACAGCTTTGGGTGGTGATGGAAGGAACTGGGTATTTAGCCCTTTCTTTGCCCACTTCTCTGATTCACCATAGAGTCAGGCTCCCCCCAATTTCAAACGCGTATTTGTGAGGTGAAAGGACCCAACTCTGAGCAAGATGCGTGTGGTGCTATGTCTTGATTGGAGTGAGTGTGGAAGCCCTTGGGAGATGGGGGAGCTATGTTTGTACGTCATATTTCATTACCTATGAGGACCTTCTGGATTAGGGATTGTGTATGTATGAGAATAACATCAGCACCAAACCTAGCTGTCATTTGTGCTGTGTGTCTGTGTGTATCTCTATCTATCTCAGACCCTCCAAGTGTCCCAGATTTACAGAAGCCATCCTGATTTCTAATTCGATCCCGGGATGTCCCACTTCTCCTTAGGACATACCTATTTTCTTTGGGGAAATTTTGGAGGGTGTGGCGTTTGTGACCCCTGCGCAAAGGAGATCAGTAACTATACAACCGTTAGAAGACATCTGAAGGCAGCCCTGTATAGGGAAGTTTTTAATGTTTGATGTTTTATTATGTTTTTATATATTTTGGCAACCCGGTCAGATGGGCGGGGAATAATAGTAGTATAATAATAATATAATAATAAATAATAATAATAATAATAATAATAATGGAATAAGACATCCCTATTTTCATCAGAGAACTCTATCTATCTATCTATCTATCTATCTATCTATCTATCTATCTATCTAATAGAAATATGTCCTGTAGTCCAAAATGCTGGATTCCCAGAGATGTTCCAGACGATGTGCCTGTTCTTTTTTATTATTATTTTTGTGTAGTGAGGAATCAGGGGCGTTGTTGTCATTGGCAGAGTCCAGTTTTGCTAGTATAGATTATAATACTTACCCTCATCAGTCTTCATCATTTTAAGCTACTCCTTGTAATTGGGCTGCTTCCCCCCCCCAACCCTGTATGGGAAAACAAGTGCTTAGAAAAGAAAAGCAGAGGTGCCCAGGATATGATTTTGACTCAACACCCACATGATTTCCCACAACTCCTTCTCCAAGGCTTTCTTTTTATAAAAGCAGGTTGTTCTGTTTACTTCTGTAATAAGAATGTTTGGTTTCATTGGCCCTAATTCGCACTGGAAGAGCATTGTCAGACTCTGCCTCAGCTATAGCTCCTACCTTCTCCTTCCACCCCCTCCGACATTTATCAAAACCGCCATGTGTAGCAGAGCCGAATTCGGGCATTGTTTAATGTTGAGTCTGTTTGTTCTTCTGGAGCGTTTTGGCTCCTAACAAAGCAGAGCTCTATTCCATGTTGGCAAATCTGAGCTAGTAATATTGCTAACTTTCTCCCTGGACGCTCGCCAGCGTGGGGCAGCGTTTCTGGACGGCGTTTTAAGTCAGATCAGTACAGCTCTTCACAAACACCCCTGCGCTCCAGATCTCAGCTGCCTTCTCAGCCTCCCAAAAGCCGAAAAAGGAAGATTGTTGCTTGCTCCTGTCTGCTGCTTGAATTGTGTGTGTGTGTAAGAGTTTCTTCCTCCCCTCACCCACCCCCCAAACCGCCTCTCCTGGAAAACGCTGTGGATAGCTGGAGCGGGTTATTATAGTTCGTTTACAGTGGCAATATGATATCTGTGTCTACCACTCCAGCAAAAAAAGCTTGTTACTTAAATCACTTTTTAAGCATAAGGGGAGAAAGATATAGTTCCTAGCTGTTCTTTAATATGTGCATTAGTCGAACGACACTCGAAGGCTTCAGCCAGCTTTGAGCAAACGCAATCTCCACTGCAAACAAGACTGTCACTCCCTCAGGCTTACGTCTTAGTGAAGACACAGCGCTGTAAGGGGAATGGATTGTGAGGCAGTTGGGAAATAGTGGTCGGATGTGAGCTCACACAAGGGATGTGTATGGCGGAGCAAAAGAACTACTGATAGATCTCAAGAGTAACTGGGGGGAAGGCTGTGTAGCTCAGTGGATAGAGCCATCTGCTTTGTGCAGAAAATGCCAGGCATCTTCGGTAAGGTTAAGCTATAGTGCGCACACACTGGGCTAATGCACCAATGATCTGCCTTGAAATATGGCAGCCACCCAGTTCTCCTGTGATTTCCAACAGATCCGCAATGCTTTCTGATTCCCAATTGTTTAACCAGGGGTTCCCAATTAGCAAAAGACTGTGGGAACCCCTGTTTTTCAAAAGCCAAGCGATGGACCCCACTACTTTGAAATGTTTGTGGTCCCAGGCCCCATGCGCATACGTGAAATTGTGTAAAATGGGGAGCACCTGGTGGCTTTCGAGGGAGACCCTTTCTGGAGCCTGAAGAGGAGTGTATGGGGAACATCTCGCAAGCAAGGAGGACACGTTGTTTTCAGATTCCTGGCAACTATGCGTATGTGCAGTTGCGTGCAAATAGATTGTGTGTAAACTGAGTTGCAAATAGACCTCGTATAAACTGAGTTGCCTCAGTTTGATATCCAATAAATGTTGTAGATAGGAGTCATCACAGAACGGTCAGAAAGTCTTATATCTTTAAAGTTATTGGTTTTAGTGATTTCTGGTTAATTGAGCAGAATGTAACTGAAACCCAGGAATGGGGAACTTTTGGCTCTCTATCTGTTGTTCCTGGGCTCCCAACTCCCATCAGCATAGCCAGCGGTCATGGATTACGGAACTGGAATTCCAACAACATTTGTAGGACTGCTGGTTCTTCACCCCTGCTGCACACATCCCCTTGGTTCCTCCACAAGTAAAAGGGACTTTTAAAATGAAAGCATTTTAAAATGAAAGCTTGAACATTCAGCGAGGAGCCTGTGGTACCGTATTTTTTGCCACTATAGGGCGCACCGGCCCATAAGGGCGCACTTATTTTTTTGGGGGGGGACAAAGAAAAAAAATTTATTCCCCCCAAGCTCGCCGGGCTGGGGGGGGGAAGCCTGAGCTTCCCCCGACCCCAGCCCCCAGAACGGGTCCGGGAGCGATGGCGAGGTTGCGCTCAACCTCAACCATCGCTCCCGGAGCTTGCTGCTATCCAAAGCCCGGGGAGCGTGGCGCTGTAGCCCACTGCGCACCCAGGCTTAGGGCAGCTATCCGCAAGCCTGCGGCGCCCGGCGGGAACTCCCGCAGGGCTCCACAGGCTTGCGGATAGCTGTCCTAAGCCCGGGGTGCGCAGTGCCGCGCTCCCTGGGCTTCGGGCTGCAGGCAGCTATCCGCAAGCCTTCGGAGCCTGCGGGAGGTCCTGCCGGGCTCCTCGGGCTTGCGGATAGCTTCCTGAAGCCTGGAGAGCGAGAGGGGTCAGTGTGCACCAACCCCTCTTGCTCTCCAGGCTTCAGCGAAAGCCTGCATTTGCCCCATAGGATGCACACACATTTCCCCTTCATTTTTGGAGGGGGAAAAGTGCGTCCTACAAGGGCGAAAAATATGGTAATCTGTGATAGATCTCTTCCCAATATCCAAAACCCTCGCTTCACAACAGTTTAATGTTTCTTCCACATTGCAGATATTTTGCCGTGAGGGCAAGTCTCGCTATGACATGAGCACTTGAGGACAAATGGCCGCCAAACAAAAAAAGAGTTTGGTGTCCGATATCAGTGATGCTTTATTGACCTGATGGAGGTAGACAGGGCCAGCCCAAGACATTTTGGGATGAGGCAGATCCCAAAAGGACACCCCCCCCTGCTAGGGGAGATTTGCACCAGGAACAAGGGGAGAAAGGAAGATCGACTTCTGGATATGTTGTCCCGGTGGATCCTGCCACCCGAGGCCATTGCCTCACCTTGCCACACAAGTGAGACCGGCCTAGAGGCAGATCTTGGAGCATGTAGATCAACCTACCCATAATACTAATTCTAATACTAATAATAATAATTAATATTACCCCTGGGCTGGGTGTTCATCAGTATGCGGATGATACCCAGCTCTACTCTTTTTTAAATCAGAACCAGTGAAGGCGTTGAAGGTCCTGTGTGAGTGTCTGGAGGCGTTGGAGGATGGATGGCGGCTAACATTGAGGTTGATCCTGACAAGACAGAAGTACTGTTTTTGGGGGACAGGAGGCGGGCAGGTGTGGAGGATTCCCTGGTCCTGAATGGGGTAACTGTGCCCCTGAAGGACCAGGTGCGCAGCCTGGGAGTCATTTTGGACTCACAGCTGTCCATGGAGGCACAGGTCAAATCCGTGTCCAGGGCAGCTGTTTACCAGCTCCATCTGGTACGTAGGCTGAGACCCTATCTGCCTGCGGACTGTCTCGCCAGAGTGGTACATGCTCTGGTTATCTCCCGCTTGGACTACTGCAATGCACTCTACGTGGGGCTACCTTTGAAGGTGACTCGGAAACTACAACTAATCCAGAATGCGGCAGCTAGACTGGTGACTGGGAGCGGCCGCCGAGACCATATAACACCGGTCTTGAAAGACTTGCATTGGCTCCCAGTACGTTTCCGAGCACAATTCAAAGTGTTTGGTGCTGACCTTTAAAGCCCTAAACGGCCTCGGTCCAGTATACCTGAAGGAGCGTCTCCACCCCATCATTCTGCCCGGACGCTGAGGTCCAGCGCCGAGGGCCTTCTGGCGGTTCCCTCATTGCGAGAAGCAAAGCTACAGGGAACCAGGCAGAGGGCCTTCTCGGTAGTGGCGCCCACCCTGTGGAACGCCCTTCCAGCAGATGTCAAAGTGATAAATAACTACCTGACATTCAAGAGACATCTTAAGGCAGCCCCTGTTCAGGGAAGTTTTTAACATGTGATATTTTATTGTATTTT